GCTTTACTCTGAGTTCTGAACCTCCAGACTGCATCTGAGCTCTGTGTGCAATGTTTATGGGGAGGACATGGGCAGTGTTAAATGTTACAATGTGTTTGGTGGGAGTGTGTGACTGAAGGAGTCTCTGGGAGGAGAAACTGGAGAGAGTGTACTAGAGGGATACAGGAGAAAGACCAATGTGTGTGCTGGAGCTTGGATCTAACTGGGGAAAAGACCAGTCAGTGTGCTGGAGGTGTGATGTTACTGGAGGACTAGAGAGAGTTTGATTTGCACAGTGGCAAAGAACTGAAAGCAGAATTTAGACATTGCATAATATAGGAAGTAATTTAAAATGTCAAGATCATCAACAGAAAACCTTTGCAAACCATTCAGTTTAGTAGCAGTTGTCAGTAGAAAACGTGGAGCCTTCTGTATTGCAATAGTGTCAACCAAAAACTTTTTGTAGCTGCTCATCAGCCCTGCAGCATAATGCTTTGTGTTTTCAGGAGGGCATGATCTGCATGAATCCTTTTGGAAATGTACTGATGGAGTAGGCAATAATGCCAAACTAGGTCATACATGAGCGATTTTATGGGGCAATAGCAATGCTATTTCTCAGCCCACCTTTGCTTTTTGCACATCAACTCTTAGCAGCAATAGTTTTAGTCAACTTAGTGTCAACCAGCAGTTCTACTTCCATGATCCATTGTGTTGCCCCATCTCCTTTAGTTGCCAAGGTGCACCCAAGTAGGTGGTGTGTCTTCTTACGTTACGTCAGATGCACCAAAAAAAAGGAATGTGTTAAAAAAGGAACAGGAAGCCAGTCAGTGAGAGTCTGTGAGGAGTGTTTGGAGCAGGACACATGGCTATGTGTGTTAAGCTGTGGACTACAGTCTACCGAGACACTGCTGGGGCACCTGTGTCCATACTGGAACCCTCTGTGAGCAGGCTGGGACTCTAACCCTGAGGTGGGACTTAGTATACAGGCGCTGAGCCAAATCTTGTATTTGCTGACAATAAGCCCTGTTGATTTTGTCATTCTGCTGAATATAAGCCATTTTATTAGATTGTTTGTGGAAAAGAATAAAAGTTTTGTGGCTGATACGGCTGGCTGCGGTTCATATCCGCCCTGAATATTACAGCCCGCATATATAGTAATTTATATGTTTGCGTATTTAGTAATTTGGATGAACTGACAGAAATTTGTTGATTTTCGCAGTTCGTCCGAATCCAAATGCACATCTCAACAATGAACAATTATTCTCTTTAGTGACAGAACTCATACAAAAATGTAGGTAGATGTAGAGGGGGACTGCACCCTAAAAATATGCTGCAAAAAAATATCCAAAAACAAAATAATTAAATGAGTTTAATGTACAGATTAAATAGATTTTAGGAGCCTTTTAGGGACAAGGGACTTGGACAATACATTCCATGTAAGGTTTGCATGCAAAACAGGCACTGTTGTGGTACTGAGAGCAAATCTGAAGAAAAATGCAAAGTAAAATGTATTTTATTAATATACTGACTAAAGACAGTAATCAATCTAGATTGTATTGTTTACATATAGTCTTATTCCTCTTGAGCCTGTTGATTTCATACGTGAAGGTCTATGTACAATGTAATGTCACATATAGAGTGATATTTAATACACTGTCACCGTTCTGGCATTCAGAGAATTAATATATGTGAATTGGCCTACTTTGGAAATATTACATGCATATATCGCCCTTGCATTCTCTCTGCAACTTTCCCCCTTCCTATACTTCCTCATATACTTCCATTTTGTTAGTCTGAGGAGCAGAGAACTATGCCATTAACCTTGAGATTTCTAAACACTCTGGAGCACTGCCCTGCTGATATAAAAGCTTTGCTGCTGATCTTATAAGATGGCTGCCTAAAGTCCCCGTCGGCTCTCATTAAGGAGGTGCACGGAGCGCACTCCTAAGAAGTCTCCACTGGCGCTCATTCTTCCTCCGGGGCAACAGTGACTGGGAGAAAGTTGCGTATAGGTGCAGAGTACGCTCTGTGCGCCTCCTTAATGAGACCAGCTGCCAACACAGATGTAGAAGTTAAGGCCGGCCGCATTTGCGGTCGTCTTAACATATCGATGCGGCCGGTCGGTCTCATTAAGGAAGCGCACAGACTCAGAGCGCACTCCTAAGGAGGAAAACAGGACAAAATAGATTTTTGAAAAGAATCGACAGGACCAGGGAAATATGAAGAAATAACGTTACTGTCCCGTTTTAAAACGGGACTCATGGTCAGCCTAGGTACCCAGAAAGCTAAGTATGCTTACTACATATATTTCACTGTTTGTGGTTGCCACCATCTACGAACACTTTATCTGAAATCTAGACTAACACAGGGAATTTTTATACATTATGTCCCTTGTCCAGAAATGTCTTCTTTGTACAGAAAACAAACAAAACGTGTACCCTGTGTTCCTATGTTTACCTATTATACGCCAGTTGTGACATCATAGTTTATATTATGGAAAAAAAAGTTGTAAATTATGTCATCAGCCTCCCATTCATTCTTCTCATTGTCAGAGGCAAATGCAGCAGCTGTCTGGACAGCTGGCCAGGCCATATTTTCGAAGCTAAGGTTTCAAATAGTTCAATAGTGGACTCTACTCTACTGAGAATTCCAGCTGCTTCTAACTCATTTCCCAGTGGTAGACATTCTCTTTTCTGCTGTCTGTAACTGCAAAGATACTATGAAAAAAATTAAGTCGTATATTTTGAAGTGTGATTGAATGTCACCCCTGCAGATGTTTAAAATGAAAGCCTTATGCTACGTTTACCAGTCATAATGTTTATCAAAATACACAGCTGACTATACACATAGCAATTTGTAATAAATCGAGGTTTGAGTGATCGCAGACAAGTAACCTATTAAAATATAGAAGGATGGAATAAACTGGATATTGTTTCCCACTTTGGAAGCAACTTAATATATATTGATTGAAAATGCTATGGGTCATTTATAGATGTGCAGGATTGATTTAAACTGATTGTTTATTATATCTGTATTATAATCAGTTCCCTTGCACGCTCACACACAAATATGTGTTTGAGCAAATGGAGATAGTTGTAAAAATTTGATGACAACCAGTTGATGTGGAAGAGTCACAATGAGCAAGAGCTCTGTAAATCAGTTGAAAGAAGGGTCTCTTTTGTTGACTTCTTATTTGATTTGATTAGTTGCATTGAGTTTAGTCTATCATATGGGTGAATTGTACAGCACTGCTATAAGAAAACTGTAAGAAGAAATGGAATTTACCTTATTAATAGGTTAATTATCATGTGATTTTTTTAAAGGTATATATCATTTTAAATGAACTCTATCATTGTCAGTGGGCACAAACAATTAGAAGCTTAAGGCCTTGTTCACACCAAGGGCGTTCCAGGAGCAGATCAGAGCAGTTACAGACCGTATCAAAACTCCGTCCAATTTATTCCAAAGGTATTTTGGGCTCTAGTTCATACCGCAGCATTCAGTTCCAGAGCATGTAAAAAAAACTGCAGCAAGCCCTATTTTACCTGCTCTGGGACCTCTAAAACGCATGCAAACACCCTGGAGCGCACCGAAAGCCCATTCTAAAGTAAAAAAAAGTGTTTTTTTTTTAACCAAAAACGGCCAGGAACGCATCAAAAACACGGCACAACCCACTGCACTGTGTGTGCAGAAACTCATGCAGATCTGGTCTGCATTTGGTCTGAACAAGCCCTCAAAGGTATTAAAACCTAAAAACAAAAATTCAATATATTGCTGTATATATACTGTCCTTATATGCTGGCTGCATCAGTCTTGACTTTATAGGCTGAGAACATTTTCAACAAGTACATAAAATACTTGTTGATCTTGTCAGAAATGCAATGTCCTTGTCACTTCCTGTGAGCTTAAAAGAAATCATATAAAGCCTTGTCTTTATTGTATAAGCCACTACTTCCATCAATCCACCGTGCAATGGAGACAAAGAAAGAAAGACATGTTCGAAGTCCAACCTGTATGACAATCATGGCTCCCTCCATAGATACAATAGAGAAATGAGTGTAGACAAAAAGGGAAATGAAGTGTTATTTGCAGGATTACTAAGTGAAAATAAAGGAAAGAAAGGCTGAAAATGAAAATTAATGCAGCCACCACATCTAAGGACTGGAAAGCTGCAATATTTACATTTTGGTTTGGGGTTTTGCTATGCCTTATTGTAGCATAGTCACACATATCTCTTAGATATGTTGATTCAGAAATCAAGAAAGTGTTAGAAAAGTAAAACGTAAATGAACATTCAAGTACAGGATCTCAAATTGAACTTGCTGGCCACAGTAGGATCAATGAAAAGTACTGTGCGTCAGATTGCTAAATGCACCTGTTAGGCACAGGAGGCATTCATTTTTAATTGTTTCACTATTTTGTTCTAACTAATTCTATAGCTTCACATGTTTCTAAAATTGAAATAGCAGTAAACCTTTCACTATTTGGTTTGCTTTCTTAGAATTGCCTTATTGTGTTTATTGATTTTTGCTGTCCTACCTGAAGAGAAAATCGTCACTGAACCTTTAACATTCTGTTACTGGTGCCTACAGTATATACAAACACAAAACCCAAAATGATTTAGTATTGAATAAAAATTAAACATAAAAAGGTTGACCAAACACCTTGAATTTAATTGCCATTTATGACAAGCGTGAAGGAACATTGAATCTGTGGAAGGATAATATTGCAATTTCTTACCCACTGGCCTAAATAATTACTGCACAGCCTAGCATGTGCATATTTGGGAATAGCATAACATCCAGTTGCACATTCTGGTTACGTGCTCTGTTGGAACTACTGTGAGATCGGGTGGTGCAAATAAATTGATTGTGCTACCTGGGTGCGATAAAAGCATTGCACCCAAAACAGGGAGACAGGGGCAGGATATTATCTAAAAAGGTATCATAATATTAGTATAATAAATTGTACAAATAGTCACCAAGTAAAGCATGTAATGTAATTTTTTTTCATATCAACAGCTGGGACGAGAGCAGCTCTATAAGCAGTGGCCTGAGTGATGCATCAGGGAATCTCAGTTCAGAAGAGTGCAACGCCAGCTCTTCACTCACTTCCCTTCCCTCCACACCCACCACGTCCAGACGGAGCTCCACCATTGCTGTAAGTAAAAATTGCTTGTAAGAAAGGATATCTATCGGATAGCAGTGTATAGTCATATTGGTTGCCTCTTATACAGTGAACATGTCTTGTGAATCATAGGGCGTTATTCACTAAGCTAAAACAGCTAAAAGTTTCCCAGCACACTCACCAGCCAGCATGCAAAAAAACTTGTCTCACCGCAAAGGTTAAAAGCAGCGGTTTAGATACACGTCTTCTGCAGAAAATGTGAAAGCCGCACTGCCTCGCCAAGGCACCTCCTATATAGTGCGGTCCTAAACTCTAAACTATGAGAGTCTCCATCTTGGATCACATGCAGCAAAAGATAAAATTGGGTGCAGGTTTGTCAGGAGGAAGCCCAACCTCCCTTAAAGGCACAGGGACACACAAGGGACCCCGCATATCACAACGGCAGCTGAGACCCCCATGCGTCACTGCACCAGCAGCAAAAAGTTTCCCAGCACACTCACAAGCCAGCATGCAAAATGTGGTGGGAAACTTTTTGGTGTTGTACTGTATAAAGCCCTTCCATGTGCACCTTGCTCTAAAGCTGGTAACAAATTGATGAGTGTGTTTGCCATTTGTTTTGCTTTATTCACTCAGCTGCCCGAAGTGAAGGCAGCCGAACCCCTGAAACAGCCATACATTGGCCAGCTTCCCGACCAATCAGGAGCCCGCGCAGCGAGTCATTACACGCTGCCCGACTTCCTGATTGGCCCGGGAAGCCGGCTCCATGCTCCCTCGTCTTGAGGTGACGAGGGAGCATGAAGCAGGCTTCCCGGCCAATCAGGAAGCCAGGCTCTGCGTCATTACACAACGCCCTGCTTCCTGATTGGCCAGCTTCCCGACGAATCAGGAGGCCGGGCAGCGTATAATGACAAGTAATGAGGGAGCATGGAGCCGGCTTCCTGATACAGGAAGTATCGGGCTAGGCATCGGAACATTTGGGCGAGTACGGCTACTCGCCCAAATACTCGGGATCGGCACCGATACCCATACTAGTATGGGTATCGGGGCATCCCTAGTGCAAATGCTGGTTCCCTGACTTTCCTGGTCTGCATAGTTGTTCAAGAACAGCGAATCAGAAGTTAAGCCAGTGGTTTAGCTTTATAGCCAGCTCACATATTTGTATCAGTAAAGTTATACTTTAAGCTTACATTTTCTTTGGTTGCTGGGCAGGCAACTAAAGCAGCAGTGCTTAATCTACCTTCATTCAGAGACACCTCCTTTATCAATATATCATCTCACACTGTCCTGTTTTCATCTTTCACTCTACCCACAATCATAATAGAGTAGCAGCTTTGTCACCCAACTTCCTAATTCATGCCATTGCAGAATTGTTGATTAGGTATGGGCCCTCACGTGTTTATGATTTGGAAGGTTTGCATACTATAAGCTGAGAACAGAACAGTGTAGGCTTAGCATGACATGGGGGCATATAAATAGGTTGGTAGAGTCCTAAACATGTGGATATGGTCAGCTGAGCATACACACTTATGGGGTGATTTTTAAAAGCAAGAGAGTATGTCACCAGCCACCTTTACTCTTCACCCATAAACGTTGTTATTGATCTGTGTTCGGCATGTCATCAGGAAAAGTGAAAGCTTCGCACAGCATTACAGCCACTAGATAGTGCCAAGGAGCAGCCAGGGATGTGCTCCATCTCCGGCTTTAAGTTTGTGCGAACAGTGTTCATCCCGATATATGCTCAGCAAACCCATTATAAATAAACCCCTTATTGAATAGAGAAGTGAGGTGGGATGCGTTCACTTGTCAAGCATTTTTAAGTGGTGCTGCCTTTTTAAATATAACTCTGATACTTTCTTGTGTGTGTCATTTCTGAAAAGATGCTAAAGATTTCTTAGCTTTGTTCATAGTAATTCAATACAAATTTTTTGTTGTATAGCTCCGCACAGATTCTGAAAAGCGCTCATTAGCAGAAAGCGGACTGAGCTGGCATAGTGAACCAGAAGAACGGGGATCACGCAGGATGGAGTATGATAGTGGTAGCCTAAAGTCAGAGCATGGATCATCTCGATGGCGGCGGGAGAGGTGTGATGATGCTCAAAAATCAGAGACTAAGAAGCCTGTAACGCTTGGCCAGCCACTGCGTAAAGGAAAAAATCCACCAGTTGGTGTGACTTCCCCAATTACCCACACTCCCACTGGAACGGCCACTCAAAAAGGAGGAGGAAGCGGAGGTGGTGGAGGTAATAGCATCTTAGAAATGTATTTATTTATGTAAGAGTAATGTTTAAGAAAATAATTTTCTGCTTTTAAAGTATGCAGTGCAAGGTTTCTGTTGACTGTATTGTGGTTTGCCCGTCATGTTTAGTGGATCAAATGATCAAAATGGTTTAGTAGGATGTCTGCAGTTGGTCTCTGGGATAAAAAACTTTGGCCAGCAGCAAGAGCAATAATGTGCTAAACCCTGGCAAGCAATCAATATTGGATTAGAACCATCGGAGGAATAGGTGATGTTTGGGTACTAGGGTTTGGGCATTTTACACAATAATCTTTATAGTCTCCTATTTCGGAGCCGTCTAAGTCTTCATGAAAACCAGGAGACCAGAAAGAAAATTGCCAGGACAACATACTATTTTAAAGTAGAGTTATCTTGTAAGGTTACTTATTTTCAAACCCTATTGCCCAGTAATTAGCAGGAAGTTGAAGGAGCAATGAAGTGTAAACGGAGCTAATTTTCCTGTTCCCAATTCTCTAACCTTCTCTTGTAAGTACAGTCCAGTGCAATCTACTTGTTGCACCTGTGGCAAGCACTTCCACCCTCATGATCCTAAGTATGAAATATAAATGGAGACACCTTTAATGTTAACCAAAAGCAATCCAGAGCAAATCATTATGTAGCGTCCATCCCTAACCACATGTCACTGCCTAAAGTCACCTTTAGGCAGTGTTCATATCTTTGCGTGTGTGGTAACACGTGGCACAACAATGGGCTGTGTATGCATTTACATTGCATTGCCATTGATTTTTAATGGAAAACAAGCAACCCTACTCTGGAGCAAACTACTTGGCATGTAATAAAGAACACATTCATTGTGAAAGAAAATGAGGCAGATAAGTTGAGAGCCCATTGAAAACTAAATGCATTTAAACATTTGCATCCGGGAACGTGCAAAGACACACAAGTGTTATTGGACCCTTATCTGCTATTTATTACCCTGCGCTTTTTTACACAACACTAATAAACATCCAAATGTCTTTGAAAGTCTTGTTCTTTGCTGGCCAGTGTGTCCGGTGTCAATCTCTATGTAAATATGTTTTGTTTAAGCTGTTAGTATAAAAAGATGATTTCTGTAAAAATGAGCAGACTTAATAAAGTGGCGTACAGAGTTTAGTAAGTTTATTTTGATATTTCTGTAGGTAAACCAGAGCAGAAAGCAACTGACAAATCTAAGCTCAGCTTAAAAACTGCTGGACTGCAGCGGTCTTCTTCTGATGCTGGACGAGATCCACGTTCACCAGATGCTAAGAAACCCCCCTCAGGCATTGCTCGCCCTGCATCATCTTTCGGCTACAAAAAGCCTGCTGCACCATCTTCCCCTCTCACTGGCAATTCTGCCACATTAGGCAAAACTCCCAAATCCTCAGGAATCCCCGTAAAGCCCACATCTGGCACCGTAAGTGGAAATCGGAAGACAAGCTTGGATGTTTCCGGTGCAGCAGAGCCTGGCTTTCTTTCACCCACTGCTCGCACCAATATACAGTACCGCAGTCTTCCTCGCCCTGCCAAATCTAGCTCCATGAGTGTTACTGCAGGCAGGAGCGGCAGTCGGCCACTCAGTAGCACTGTGGATGCAAGCCTTGTGCCAGTACACGGAAAGACAGTGGGGACTTCTAGTTCTCGCTTGAAAGAACCATCCAAAGTTGCCGGTGGTCGACTAGGTGTTAACCAGACAGATCGTGAAAAAGAGAAGGCGCGTGCCAAAGCTGTAGCTCAAGACACAGAATCTCGGACAAGTACGCCAAATCCAGTAGAACCAACTGTGAATAGTGTAAAAGACGGCACGCCAACTACACCTCACAGGTAAGAATTATTATCTAGTGCCCGTGCAGACATCATCTACTTACAGTCTTCTACACTTATTAAGATTTCACCCTTTCAGTTTATTTCAGGCCCAAGAAAGATAGAACAGAGAGGAAATGAAACATTAATTGCCAAAAAATGTTTGTAACTATTCAAGAAAATATTTCTTGCATCTAAGGGATTTAAGAATAAAAGGGAAAGAATGTCTTTTTTATCGTATGTCTTAACTAACTAGAGTAAAGTCTATGTCTGTTAAGCATCTTATTCATTCAGTTCATGGTACAGTTAGTAGTAGTTAGTCATTGTCAACTGAACTTGTTCTCTAATGTTGTTTACCCTCACATCCAAGTAGCCTCTTCGGTTCTTATTAGTATCAGACCCATATCCATTATTTATAGCCACATGGGTAAGTCAGTCACCATGGTGTCATGCAGTATGTCCCTTATCACCAAGGAAGCATGCAGTGTGTCAAGGCAGATGTTGATTGTCCAAGAACAGGACAGAAGAACAGAAGAAGTGAAGTTCATGAAACTAATCTGGTTTATTTGCATATTCAGGACATAAGGGGATTTATTGTCCGAGATACACAGCTTGAAAGTATGAATTGCTGTGTGTGATAGATGATGTTGAAGGCCACCACCCTTGTCTTGGGATGATTGTTCCACTTTCAGTTATGACACCAAACATATCTTCATTTTGTTTTATTCATTGTTTTCCTTATTTTCTAGGGCAATAACCAAACCTTTCATGAAGACTCCAACGTTATCTAATCTGGACAAAATGAACTCTAACAGCCTAGATTTTACACCCTCTGTTACAGACGTGGCACCAACCAAACAACATGAACTTCCCTCAGGCGTTGCCTGCCTCACTCCAAGTCCAGCTCCGATTCTGAATATAAACTCTGCCAGCTTTTCTCAGGGTCTAAGTAATCTTAGGATGTATCCTAAACTCTCGGCCTTACATCGTAGCATGGAGTCACTTCCGCTTTCTATTAGTGTTCCACCTGTACAATTTAGTGAAGATGGGGAAGATCAAATTCCTGACACTGGGTGGAATGATATGTCCCTCAAATCACCTGCACCTGAGAAGTGTGTCGCCAGGATCGCTTCTGTTGTAAAGCCGACAGTCGGCTCTACAAGTTTAAACAGAGTCCCGGCGGCAAAAGTCACCGGGAGTCTGTTTAAACAGCCCCGATGCTGGCGACGTACACTGTACGTCGTCAGTCACGAAGGGGTTAAACCAATCCTCTTCCTTCATGGTGCAGAGGTTTAAGATGTGTCCTTTTAAGCCTATTGCAGAGCCATGCACTTACAATGCAACCTCACACATTTAGGGCCTCTGTCAATGAGCTTTTGTTTGCTTCAAGCGGATTTCGGATTCCCATATAAAACTATGGGAATGCAAAACCCACTTGAAGCAGGTGACATGCGGATCAGAAAGAGATCAAGTGCAGATGATGTGCCTGTCAATGAATTCTGAATGATCTCGGAAGTGTTTTAAACTGAAGTCAAACTGATGCCTTCGACACAAGCCTATCAACACAGACACTTACTGTTTTATCTCACTTTCCACTGGTCTACATCCTGTAGTTATTTCAGCTCTTATTTGGTGCATCAGTGACCACTATAGTTACTAAACTTCAGATAGTTAATAATGATTCAATATTAGTATTATTTAAGTGATATCATGACTAATTCTTTAGTTTTCTGCTCCAAAGGTGATATGCTGGATTTGTTTATGATATCAAAATACATACATTTTAATATTCACTTCTGAAATTTTTTTCTACAGCACTATCCAGGATAGAAACACATTGCCCAAAAAAGGGCTGAGGTATGTACTAGTTATGTTTGTCATTTTAGTGAAAGTATACATTTGAATCATAAAACTTTTTTCATATTTTTGGCATACCTAATTTTGTTTAAATTAGATGTCCCACCTTTCTGTAACTTTTGTGCATCTTTGGCAGCCTTCTCTGAATTGTGGGATATGATCACCTTTGGTAAAAGCTGATAAAGCACCCACAGGTCCATAAGTGAGAGATTCCATTTCTAGCTAATACTAAAGCTACAGACAAACTGTCTTATTGGTCAGTTCAGCAGATTAACAAGACATGAAAACAATCTGTGCAAACTCTGATTCTGAATTGTCAGTTCAGCAGATCTATAACAATACACAAGAACTGATGATGAAAACTCTAACTGGCCTGGTAGGCCCTTATACTATACAGTGGGGTGGAATTTTTTTAAAAAACTACTTAAAGCGGTAACCCAATCTACTTGTCCCTACTTGTCATGACAATCTGCTTGTGATACAAACAATCATTTTAACCAAAACTGTATTTAGCCATGCTAAAAAGAGTAGCTTCTCATTGGTCCACGCCATCATCTGTCGGGCACTGACCGAAGACTGCCTGCAATTTGTGAGCGAAATTCAAAATGTCAAAATCCATAGTGCAGTCCACATTACTTGGGCAAGTCAACTTACCCTTTCATGCACATTGTGCGTGTTAGAGAGTGCTGCTGCCCGACTACCACAATATGGCACACTCTGGAATGGGGGCAGCACTCAGCGCACCCACATACAGCGCACCCACATACACAATGCCCTACGTGTGTGTTTATTCACATGCAGATGGTGGGGGTGGTGTTTTTATCCCTTTTTTTTTAATTTATTATTTATTTATTCCTTATTTTTTTCACTTAACTTTATTTCTATCACACAGGGGATAGCAAGGCCCTATGTGATAGCATTTGGATGCGACAGGTTCTCTTAATGAAGCCTGCTCTCCAATACAGAAGATCGAGCACAATGCTGTACCTCCTGTGCAGCTGAGACAGGAAATGCTGTGAGTACAGCGCTCCTGTCTCACTGATCGCAGATCAAATCGGAGAACGGCCATTCTCTGGTCTGCTCCCCGCTATCCATCCTGAAATCATTTCAGTGGTCCCCGTTTCCCCAGAAGAGCGGGAGACCCCAAAAGAGGGCAGGTGAGGCAAGGGGAAGACGGACTTTGGAGGAAGGCGGCTACAAGTACAGCCGTATAGATCGCTTGTGCAAGACATGTACAACAGCCCAGATCACTTGTACAAAATGATCTGCCCGCTCTTCATGTAGCCCTGAGAAAAAAAATTGAAAAAAAAAGATTAAAGTTGAAAAAAATTAGTCACACGAAAAAAAAATAATAAAAAAACAAAAAGATGTTTTAAAATCCCCACCCATACATACATGCGTGCAAACATGCATCGGGTGCGCATACGTGCAAAAACGACAATTGCCCCCATTATACGGCGCATGTCAAATATCACCGTGAACGTCGCAGTGAGAGCAATAATTTTAGGGCCATTAATCACTGATAACACTAAACTGATGAGCGGTAAAAGCTTTTAAAGCGTTGCCTAAGGCCAATTTTGGGTATGGTCTTTTTTTGCGATTTTATTTTAAGACTTGACATGTTTGGTGTCTATTTACCCGACGCGACCCCGTCTTTTATATTTTACCAAAAAATTGGGTCATACTAATTGTTTCCTAACATAATGTAAAATGGTGTGTGGTGTTGTGTGTCAGTCCTTGGATTCATATATGTTGTGGATACTCCAGCAGTGCAATCTCCCTGCCATAATTCCTCCTGGCAGTTTCCAGATTTCCTTGTCACTTCCCACTTTCTCAATAATATAAAATATGTGAAAAATCCAACAGGAAGAGGGGGGCCACCTCATATTCGCAAAAAAAGATGTAATTAAAGAGTGTCTATCTCACTAGTAGAGCCCACAAGAGATATTGGCATGTGGTTTAACTCTAGCATCTTTCAAACTGAAGTTGATTGAATCTTTAACTAACCCCTAAAATTCAACAAAACTGTTACAACTTCACCTGACATTAACAATTAATTCCTTACCTTTCGCCTAGCACTTAAAACATTTAGCCTTAACCCTAACATTGAACACATAACCAGTAACATAAGCTAACCCTATTGCTACACCCTAGCCGCTGACCCTGTGCCTGAAGTGTTTGTGTTGAACGCTTTCTTTTGAGCCCAGGACCACTTGCTCCGAAATCCCAGGTGCAGAACATGATTCCTATATCGTTGTTGCTAAATATTTTATAGCTGGCCAACCAAGAATCTGTCTCTGAGAACCACGCAGAAGGTGTCTGAATGGGAACTTCCTTAAAACTGCAATGAATTTAAAATATTTCATTTAACCTTCTTTCTAAGGTACCAGTCACATCATTCTCAAGAGGAACCCAAGGAAAGGCGACATTCACACACAATTGGAGCAATTCAAGATAATGATGATTTATCACCTCTACCCCCACCACTCGCACTAACTAATGTTGGCAAACCTCCATTAGCATGCTTAGGTAAGTTTAGACTATTCTTTCCATCTCGTAGTCAAGGCTACTAACTTTATCCTTGTCTTTTTCCGCTGTTTGCTGTAGACCTTAAATAAGGTTTCTTTAGTGACCTGACATCTGAAAGTGTTGGTTTACCTCACAACCACGGATGCTTTTTTTGGCTGCTTTTAGTGTAGATCAGTAGCTCAGTGGTTTGAATATCTGCCCTTTTAACAGTGTGGTTCTCATTTCATTCCAGCAAGGTCACTTGGTAGAAGTTTTCGTATGGGTACTTCAGTTTCTGTGTGTCCTAACAGGATTCATTGTGCAAGTCAGAAGGCTGCATAAGATTATAATAATAATCTTATATAATAATAATAATAATAATATATGTATCAAAGTCCAGGCCAAGGTCATGGCTTGCAGCAAAGGTTAAAAAGCCACAGTGCAAGCTCAGGGCGCTCTAAGCAAAAGAGCTAGTGTGTTTTTGAAGAAACAGTTTATGAACTGTTACCTGCATTTGTCATTGTAGCTGGCACTTAATGTCTGTGCATGCATGTTGGATTGTTGCTTGTATGTTTACATGTGCACACTGATAGGTGGTTGTGTTTGGTTTTTTGTATTTATATTCCTTAGTTCATGACGGTTGGTTGGTTGGATGTGGGTGGGTAGGTGTGTGTTCCGAAAGAAGAAATGTGAATTTGCTAGGGTATGGGACCTACAATGCAGGCCATACTAGGGGAGGGATCTATGAGAATAGTATTAGTATGATATGTATGAGAGTACTACTGGTAAAAACATCTATAATATCACGGCTTTATGCATGTCCACAACTATTATAACAGATATACTCAGGTGTTTTCCTCCTTACTTCAATTCAGCTCAGTTAACGCATTTTGATTTTTAAATAAGGAAATAAATACTAGAACATGTTTTATATAGGTCTAAATGTACGTGGCCGTTTTAAAAGAGAACTAAAGCCAGTATTTTGGGGGGCTTTAGTTCTCTTTTGGGTCGCAGGAATACATTTATTAATGCACTCCTGTGACCCAGAGTCAGCATCTATCAGGCTTTTGCCCCTATATGCTGACAGTGCAAAGCCACACTGCAGCCAGGAAAGATCCTGACAATATTGTCAGGATGCACTCTGCTGCTTGATTGACAGTTGGCTCTGGCTCTCTAGAGCCAGAGCCAGCTGTGCTGCCTCCTCCCTGTCTGTCCCTCCAGTGAGTGCTGGAGGAACTGAGAGCGGAGGGGAGAACTGTTCTCTGCACGGAGAAGACAGTGAACTGAGCGATCGGCAGTTTGTGATCACTCAGTTCTGGAGCTATAGAGCCGGCCCTTGACAGCTGTAGTGTCACACACCAGCTCTAACTATTGGGAATAATATATATAACTCTCCCAATAGTTCTCTTTTACATATTTAGCATATTGCAAGTCCTATGAAGCATTTGCATAGCACTGCCACACTCTAATATGCTTATATTATTCATTTTCATTGCTGCTGAATATTATAGGAAACTTAAAGATAGGCTACGCTATAGGACCTGTCCTTCCAGACTTGGAAATATTAATATCTGCATTAAGGCCTTGTACCATGAATGTTTGCTTTCGTATGAGCACCATATTTATGGAATTTATTTAGAAGGCATGGTATGTTATTTCTCCATCATTTTTTCTTCTTGCATAAAGATTTCTTCCTTTACAAAATCATTTACATTTAGGGCCTGTTCACATGAGATCAAGTCCTGATCAGCAGACGTGGAGCTGCTAATGCAGTGCGTTTTTGATGCGTTTTCGGTCCGGATGCTGACAGTTCTTTTTTTTTTTTAAGCCAAGGGGCTGTCAGTATGCAGATTAAGCCTCTGAGGTCACTTCCGCCCTCTCGGAACATCTACTTCCCTTTGTGTATGTAAAGCTGGTGATCAGACATGTATCAGATATTTGCAGGCATGTTGCTCGTGCTGGCTACAGCAATCTGCAGAGAACGAGCCCGCAGGAGACGTTGTTATTGGGTACACCCAATCTTGAGGCTCCGGGACTCCAAGGGTCAGTTCTGGAGTTTGTATGGGGATTTGCGAGGTCACCCGGATACATTTTTTTCCTTTACTCGTATGTCCATGGCAAGGTAATGGGCATGTTCCAAATGTTTGCAGTTCATGTCGTTACCTCTACCCCAACCTGTCTGTCTATCGTTGATAACATCATAATAAGTGGAGCAAGAATACAATTTATTTTTTTCCCTTAGCTGCATTGCGTTGCGTTTTCGTTGCGGTTCGTGCGTGACCGGACAAAATGTGACATGCAGTATTTTTTCTTTCGTAAGCTGAACAGACTGCGCACGTGAGAACTGTAGCCCATAAAACACATAGGGATACACTGGGATGCATTTTGAGTGCAGCAGCATACGGATCCGGTCAGCACACAAAACGGACGTCGTGTGAACAGGCCCTTAAGGTTCTCATCCAACCTTATTTGAAGTAGTTTTTATAGTTCCTACATTTTCCGGTAGCATTTACATAATGTGCATTAATCTTGTGAGTCTCTATGATTATTTCCTAAGTTTCCTTGTATCTCATGCATTCCTACCTATGACCATGTTCTGTCTGTCTGCTTACAGTGAGCCCATCATCTGCTCCTCGTATTGCTCGATCCAGCAGTATTCCAGCTCACGACTCTTCTTTTGAGCTTTTTAGCTCCTCGAATCTGGGAAGTTCATTATCACTTGCTGACAGACCCAAAGGAACAATGACTAGGTCTGGCTCATTTAGAGATCCCGCTGATGATGGTGAGAATATTGCACAATTTCAATGCAGCAAAACTGATTTGAAGATGTAATTATATTTAAAAATATGTTTTCATGTTTACAATTTGCACATGTTGTTATGTAGACCTTTTTTATTGACTGAAATGTCCTGTGCTTGAGCTAGAAATTGTTTCCCTGACCAATTGGTATTGGTTTGAGTTTTGCAAAAACAGCGCAAAATTGTCAATATAGCATCTCAATGTGCATGCAGTCATCCATTTATGTTGTGTATCATGTAATACTGAGTTTTGTATCTAGTGACAGTCTGTATTAGAGGTGCACCGAAATGAAAATTTAAAAACGAAACTGAAATGAAAAAAAATTTCAGGCCTTTTTTCAAAAAAAGTTAAATATTTAATTTTTTATAATGTTTTTTTATTTTTATATATTCATTTTTAATAAATATTTTTATTTTTTACTTTACTGTTGGGGGCTTCGGGGAAATATTAGAGGTCTAAACAGACCCCTGATATTTCCCTTTTAAAATAGAAAAAGAGATTAAGGACACACAGTTATCAAGCTCTTTTTCTGCAGCCCCTGTTATCAATGAACAGGAATCCTCTATACTGATTGTCCCTGTTCATTCATAACTTGTGCAGATTTTATGTTTACTATATACACAATCATGAATGAACAGGAAGTAATGTAGTTCACTTCCCATTCATTCATTGTGGACACATTAAACATACTCTGTCCTCCAAGTGCCATTTTCGGTCAATATGTTTTGGCGGCCAATATATCAGTGCATCCCTAGTCTGGATATTACAAATATTATAATGCTTCTATAGTTGTATTGACAGCTTTAGTGATAGTAGAAAATAATGCATCTGCTAGATAATTTGCATGCCCATAACTTTTCAAATGTTATTGAAATTGAGACCTTAAGGCGGACCTTTACCCATTGCTGAATACTGAAAAATGGCCTGGCCAGGAAGGGGGTGAAACACTATGGCCTTCAAGTGGTTAAAATAACAACAAACACGGCTTTAGAAATGTTTAGTAATGACAATCTACAAATGCATACTTCTAGATAATTGCCGGCTTTGTATTCTTTACATACCTTATTTCCCTTTTCTTCTCCAGTCTTCTGACAGTGGCCAAGTTAACTGAGGGCAGATTACTAGATCTCCCTTTACTTCCTGCAACTCTGGCACATGTGACTAGGACATATGACCATGTGCATCATCCCAGGGGAGGAAATTTCCCCCTAATGAATGAGGAGAAGCTCTGCTGACTTCCAACGTCCATTAATGTGCAAAGAAAAATACAGTTTTTTTTTATTGCATCTATAAAATAATTGGCAAACAGCATACAGATGGCCTATCTGCTGTGATAATTTCACTGTACACAGTGCAGAAACACTTTCTGAACTTTGTAAGTACTGGTGGGTTTGGATTCAGTCACCTGTAGTCACCTGTATCTGTTAGGCAATACAGACAACAGTACGCTGAAAAACTGCCATCAGTGCTAGCGCTAGTTGTCATCAAAAGAGCAGGGCATGCACCATTTGTAGCAAATCACATTCCTGAAAGTCTCCATGGCATCAGTGTTCACAAACTATGAACTTACAAGTTTAGTATAATGGCTTTATTTTTCAGGAAAGCTTTACATTTTTACTAATCTGATGATCCCTTTATTTTTCAGTTCACGGTTCTGTTCTGTCACTGGCATCAAGCGCATCGTCGACATACTCTTCTGTAAGAACCAACTGTATAAAAGTGTAGCTGCAGCCACAGCTGCCCATGCTGTGTTTAGAAATCATTATGTTCATTAGCAGTGCATGAAAGACTCTGCTTGTGCTTTGAATGCAAATAAGAGTGTAGAGATACATATTAATAAGCAGCTGGAAGACTGTTTACTCATGCTGTAACATCCTCTCTTTATTTTTCTGTGGCATGCTACGCTTGTCTATCAGGCTGAGGAAAGGATGCAATCGGAGGTACATTCAGTGTTCTATCCTTTGTTGCAGAGCTCTTCTCTCACCCTCTTTTTTTTTTTTTACTCTCATGATTCACTTCTAAGTATTATACCTTATATATATTACTAATATGATATCTTACACCTACAGTATACAGTACATGCTAATATGTACGAACATTATAGTAATATATTGTGTATACTAATACAGTATATCCTAATAAAAGAGAACATCATAATATACTAATGTAGCTTTACTAATACAGTAACATTTAACAATTTCATTTTTTGAACTAATATTTATTTTCTTTGTTTCACTGTGCAAATTAGCAAATCCGCAAGCTGCGGAGGGAACTGGAATCATCACAGGAAAAGGTTGCAGCTCTGACGTCACAGCTGTCTGCCAATGTAAGTTCTGTGAGTTGACTTTTATTCATACTTTCTAGTTTTAAGTATTTCCATAAACTGTCGGATGCCTATCCATCTGAGATTGCATTACCCTAGCTTGTTCTTAGACCTGATCTTAGGTTCTCTGTATTGTTCTATTTGGGTCTCATTCTTTATAGGTCATATAGTCAGGAGAATTTCCTGACATTGGTAGATACTGATCTTTGATGCTGTGTTTCTGGTGTAACAGGGGAACTGCCACTTCTCACACTATGCTCCCATCCCTTCCCTCCAGGTGACCCTGCTCAGTCCCCATCTTGTGTCTTTGTTTTCTGTCTCTAACTTCGTCTATGTCCCTGCCCAGACATACATATTTTGGTCTAAAATAAACTGCCTTTTTTTTCTGATGTACCTAATGTCATTATAACATCACTCAATTAAGCTTTCATTGTACACCTTTTTATTGCATTCTTGTGCTAGTCTTTATTTTGTTGCTTTATATAGATTTAAAATAAACAGAAAATAAGTATTTCTGTGATTTGTTCCACAGTTCTTTCTTATTCCCCAGATGTGAGATTAAAGTGATACTCCAGACAAATTTTATTTAAGGTTTTGACATAGTAGGAAAGAGTTAAAGCCTCTGTTAGGTTTCAAGGTTATATTTGACCCTCTTAGGGAGATTTCCCCCTAATTTCCATTGTTGGTGACAGTGTCCCTGAAACAGGAAGTGAGGAAAAAGCTCCAGCTGGAGTATACAAATTAAAAGCTGACAGAGGCTCTACCTTCTCCCACTAAAACCCAGACTGGTTTTATTGCTGTTGTATCTCTTTTGGTAAGATTTCACCTCACTTTCTGTCCTACTCGCAAGTCTGTCACAGAGACAGGAAGGGGAAATTCCAAACACACAGACTGCAATAAAAATCTAATAAAGGCTATAAACAAGGTTCTATCCAAAACGTTTACTGGAGTTAGACTAGAAATCAAAGGAAACATCTGCAAACTTTACCTTCTTGTTCTCTAAATGGTATGAGTGGACAAGTAACTATTTTATCGAAGATATACAGTATTATCATATTAGAATAAAAATGTTACAAATGTATAGAAAGTGCTGCATAAAAGTGACTGCATGTCCAAAATAATAAAAGAAAACAAACTCCTTCATGAATTAATAGTTATTGTAGTGGTTACATACATGTGTTTTCCTCAGAAGTATTTCTCTGTAATAGTTCAAGTGGAAGTGCACTTTTCCATTAAGGCCTTTCCCCCACTCCTGGGCTCTCTTAATCACTTCTAAACATACATCGCATCAGGCACATTCTGAGCATCTACCAAGCCATTGCTGTCTACTATATAGGTGGACAGTGCCCAGTTGTAAATATAGGAGTGTGTGGCAGAGAAAGACAAAAAAAATCTGCCCAAAGTGCAGGATGTGAGGTATGTATAGATGCGATAAGGAGGCCCTAGGGGGCAAGGGGGAAGTTTATTTTCTTTTTATACAAAAGTACATGTCATCATAGCAATGCCTCTCAATAATTAGGCTTGTTTCTACAAGGTTTGTAAAAATGCATAAGCATCAGGCAAGAAGGAAGGCTACAGATGTAATATAGATTAGCCAACAGTGTGAACCAAAGAGAATTATTTAGTTTTAGGTTACTTGTTATTGTATAATTATCCCAATTACATTAGTAAAATGCAGCATAGAGAAAACATTGCTAAATTATTTTCTACCATGGATCTTATATTGTTATCAGTGTCTGATAAAGCACTGACTCACTTGCCAGATAAAATGAAAAGTGACGTTTTTGTGTATTCTGCTCATCGCAACACATTTAGTGCTTGGGTGACTGTGGTGTCTTTGATTTGGAGAATCATTGGCCACATAAAGACTTAAAGTGACACTAAATGCAGGAGTTAAATCTTAAAAATACACTCAAGTACTTTAACTAATAACTAGAGCTGCAGCTAACGATTTGATCGTGGATGGGCAGGAAATGTGAGGCGGGGAGGAGGTGCGGCGTGTGGAGCGTGGATGCGAGCGGGTCTGGCAGCGGCGAGCGTGAGGTGGGGAGGAGGTGCGGCGCACAGCGTGTGGAGCTGTGAACAGGGCCAACTGAACGGAAGCCGATTAATCGATTATTGAAAAAGTTGACAACTTTTTCAATAATCGATTATGTCGATTAGTTGTTGCAGCCCTACTAATAACAAAAATGTTGCTTATTTGTGCATGACCCTCAGTCTCAATACAAATTAGTAAACTATACATGAGATTGTAGTCCTGGAGTGAGCTTGGAGCTGTGGCTACTTTACAATAAACACACAGGGACCATGGGGAACAAAGGTAGCCACCCTCCAGAAGGAAGGACAGTATCAGTACAAATTCAGAGATGATTTGAGAATCTACAGCCAAGTTATACACAAGTGATATACAGTTTTGTTAATAGTTCAAGTACTTGAATTTAGTTTAGCGTCGCTTTAACTAGAATGGTCAATACTGCAGCTGGTGCTCAGAAACTTTGCAATGGTCTTTAGCCTTTACTATATATGTAATTTATGCCACAATCAAGAGATGTGGGCGTGGTTATGCCTTCTGTTATACTGTACATAGTTACATAGTATTTGAGGTTGAATAAAGACACAAGTCCATCAAGTCCAACCTTAGTGTGTATGTGTGTTAATTTGCATTTGTATATGTGTACACGAGTCCCTTTTATGTCCTTGTTTTTAAGTTAGTCTGTACCCCTGTATGTTACGGTCTCTAAGGAAGGTATCTAAATGCTTTTTGAATAAATCAATACTCTCTGCTGATACCACTTCTTGTTCCAGACTTTAACCGATCTCACTGGAAAAAAAGCCCCTTGTGGTTAAATCTTTTCTACACCAATTTTAGGTGGTGGCCTCTAGTCTTTATTACAGCGTTTACTGTAAAACGTTTATTGCTGATGTTGCCATCAAAATAATGTCCTCCTAATCGCCTCACTTCCAGTGTGAACAAGTTTAAGTTTAATAACCTTGTCTCACAGCTTAGGTCCTCTAGCCCCTTAATTAGTTTAGTTGCCCTTCTCTGGACTCTTTCCAGCTCAAGGACATCCTTTCTGTGGTATTCAATCTGTGGTCTACTATGGCCCCCAAATCTTTTTCCATTTCTGACTTCCCTAGTGGAGTACCCAATAATATATAGCACTTTTTAACCACAAAATGCATTACTTTAAATTTTTCAACATTAAACCTCATCTGCCATATAGTTGCCCACTCTCCTATTTTATCAAGGTCCTCCTGTAATGTTATAATGTCTAAGTCCGTGTCTATTACCCTCCCAATTTTAGTATCATCAGTAAACACAGAAACATGGCTGCTTATACTTTCCCTGATATCGTTAATAAACAGATTAAACAGTATGGGGCCTAGCACAGAACCCTGGGTCACGCCACTCTCCACCATAGACCAATCTGAAAAAGAGTCATCTATCAATACTCTGTGGACACTTTATCAGTTCTCTATCCATGTACCCACCATGTCATCTATGCCCATAGATCTCAGTTTGTGTACTATGCCTTCCATTAGTTATTTTTTTCATGCATGCATGTGTGAGATTTGATAGATTACAAAAACAATGAGTATACTGCAGTCTGCAGTCCTTTACAGATTTATAATAGAAGTGTTTTTTTTATCTTTGTAGGCAAACTTAGTTGCAGCATTTGAACAGTCTTTAGTGAACATGACCTCCAGACTTCGTCTGCTTGCTGATACTGCACACGAGAAGGTGAGTAATGCCAAATGAGCAATATTGCTGGTTTACCACTACGTCAGTAAATAAGAGCTAACGCATATTTAGTATTTTTTAAAGAAAAACTGACTCTCCATTAGTAATTCTTCAGATTTTTTGTGACATGCTTTAAATTCTGTGATTGGTGAACGTTAGGGATAAGCATTGACAGGGAGATTTAACGTCACTAAAATGTTTGGTGAAATGTGGTACATATTGCTGATGGTTTGGGCAATAAATTACTCCTAAGAGTTAGGGAAGTTTATTTCAACTATTTCCACTATTCTGTTTTTGGGCCAAAGCTAAAAAAGCTAATGGTAACCCTAAAGGCAATCCTAACGCTTAAGGTAAGCATAATCTTGTGATAGCACTAACCCTTTGTTTGCAAACAAAGACATGTGATCACCATGGCATCAATTTGATCAAGAAAGTCATGTCACATATCAACAGGGTTGTTTGCATGCTCCTAGTATTAAACTAGAAATGTATTTTTGATCTATGCCCAACAATTGCATATTAAAAGAAGTGTCTCCTAAACATAATGTCTGTGTTTGAATGGAATCTGTATTGAAAACTACAGTCACAATATAGATCAATTGTTATTTTTTATTGATTCACTATGATACAGCTTAACAAGTCTCTGTAATCTGCTGCATCAGAACCTATATACAATTCCATTACCCAAAGGTACCCATACTTGCAATGAAATGATTCTGATGCATTTATGCAGTGATCTGTATATATAAGAATCTAGAGCTGCTTAATAACTGCCGAGACCGAAAAGCTGTTGTGGAAAACGTCAGCCGATTTTCAGTTTTCCTCTGCTTACTAAGCAGGCATAAAACCCGGAAACTTGCCTGACTTGCACTTTGTAATGGATGTGCATCTTGTCTAAAAAAAATGTTCTGTAGATGGACGGACTGCTTTCAGTGGAACAATGAGAAGTCCTTAAGGAAGGGCAGTTTTAGAATGTACGTGAAGAAAAAAAATTGAAACGTAAGCATGTGAATTGTACAATTGTAGGATTTAACAGAGAGCTGCTAAAATCTAATTTTGGTTTTAAGATACCGTATAAGAAGATAGCTGGTTAAAAGTCAAAGGGTTACCTCACGTATGGTGCAAGTAGATGGTCAGCACTTTGGAATGTGTTTATAGAAATCTTTGGGTTTATTGTATTGCATTAAAGATCCACTTACTCGCAGTACACCCACATGGCTAAGGGATGCATTACCAGTGTTTTATTGTTTTATTGGAATTCACTATGTTATGTTTAATTCATCCTGAAGGTTGACCACCTGCATTCATGCTTGTGTGAAGTGTCAATATGATCTTTTAACCCTTAATTCTTGCTTCAATTTTACACTTAGGCCTCATACACAAGGGTATTGTATAATCTTAGCTTGTATTAATAGCAGAAAGGGAGTTGGGACTACAGAACACATCTCCTACTCGTTATCTCCATAACAAAGGGGGGAGGTGTTCTGTTTTCTACAGATCTGAACAAGGCAGGGCTAAACAAACAATGCAGTGCATAGTACACAGGACAGGAATGGATTCTGGCAGCCCCAAAAGGTATTTATTTGCACTTGTCAAACAAAAAGAAAACGCTTTAAATGGATTATATACCAAACCAAAAGAAAGCAAATAAAGTTCATTGTTAGGGATTACAAACACTTTAAAGCTAAACACACAGTCAGCAGTAAAATAATATTTTCATTT